GACAGGGTCTCACTAAATTGCTAAGTTGCCTATGATGGGTTCAAATTTTGATCCTCCTGCCTCAGCCTCCCAGAGCGGTTGGGATCACAGGTACTTTACCCAGTGTGGTTTATGTTCTCATCTCTGTATCACCCAGCTCTGCCGCCCCAGAGCAGGCAAAGCCACTATGGCAAAGAGGGGCCTGTGTGCAAGCGCAAGGTCCTGAGTTCGATTCCCGGTACCGGAAAACAAAACAAAACAAAACAGAAAAACCAGGGGCCTGTGCACACCTCACCCCAGGGACACTGCTCCTCTCATCCGAGGCCGCTCAGCTCCCACCACCAGCTGTGTGCTCTCTGGACAAAGGAGATGGGACAGCCAAGCTCCTGTGTCACTGGTCCCAAGCGGCTCCCCTTCACCCCCTCCACACAGGGCGATGGTCTCTGTTCACCAAGGCAGCTGAGGACCCCCTAAGAGGTGAGTTATTTTAAGCTTTTCCTGAGCCCCATGGCCCAGGCAAACAAATGGCTTCGGGATGAAGCCCAGGAAGGTTCTTAAGGCCTCACATTCTGCCAGCAACACACTTAACCCGTAAAAAATGTACCGCTCACCGCCTCTCCTGGGTTCGCTTTGTGCTAGGCTTTGGTTCAGAGAAAGACAAAGCAAAACCCCAAAGCCTCTGATCAATGGATCCCAACCACTGCTCACCCCTCCACCCCGCCCTGGCGCTGGGTTGGGAAGGAGCAGAGAGAAGCAAGAGCGCCGCTTTCCTGCCAGCCTCCTTCAGAGTGGCACAGACGGAGGCTGCTGCTGAAATCGCTGCTTTTTATAACCAGGAATGGGGCAGGGAAGCCAGCCAAGGAGCAGGTTGGCCCAAGGTCCCCGCCAAGCAGCCACAGAAAAGGCAAGGTCGGTCAGGCACAAGGGAGGCGAGGGCCAGAGGGGAGCAAGGCCTCGGACACCTCACAAAGCTGGGTGTAGCATCGGCAGCCCCCAGCCTCCAGGAGTAGTTCCTGTGTCACTACCTGAGGGCTCAAACATGGGGCCAGGTGACAGGGGACCGAACACCCCTCCTCCCGCTGTCTGCTGCCAGGGCCCCTGCCAGCCCCCACTTACTTTTGCTCAGCAGCTCCTCCTGGCCCAGGCTGTTGGAAGGAGCCGCTGGGGCACTGCCACCCTCGTCCACGGTCAGGATGAGGGGCACGTCGTCGTCCAAATTCACGGCCATGCTCCCCTCTCCTGCGCTCCTCAGGATGTGATGTCCAGGGCTGTGAACAGTCTCTGGTTTGAGCTCCTTGTCAAAGCCGCTGGCCCCACGGTGCTTCTCAGAAATTCCTCCATTAGAGGCATCTTCTAGGGTTTGGAGCATAAAAAAGACAATTATTAAAGGATAACCACTGCTGACGAATATATTCTGGGATTAGGCAGTGGTGATGGCTATCCAGTCCTGCAAACGTCCTGAAAACCACGAAGTTACAGACACTTTTTTTTGTCCTTTTGAGACAGGATCTCTCTATGCACTTCAGGCTGGCCTTTAATTCATTATGTAGCCCAGGCTGGCCTCAAACTTCCAGCAATCCTCCTGCCTCAGCCTCCCGAATGCTGGTATTACAGGCTTGCACTACCATGCCCAGCTCACATATACTCTTTTAAATGGTGAATCTTCTGGTATGTAAGTAAGATCTCTCTTAAAAAGAATGATAACAAGCTGGGCGTGGATGCACATCTGTCACTGAAGTACTCTGGGAGGCTGAGGCAGGAGGATGGCAACTGCATGCCCAGCTTGGGCACCTTAAGTGTCTTACAGAGGACCCTGTCTCAAAATAAACAATAAAAAAGTGCTGGGGATGTAGCTCAGAGCAAAGGCTTTGGGTTCAATTGCCACTGCTTTTCAGTCTCTTGGCTACGATCAAGTGTCTGGGTTCAACCCTCCGTACCACAAAGTTTAAAAAAAAATGTGCTAGTAGTGTAATAGTGTCAAAATGTTAGCACAACTATAAGAACAAATACTGAAAAGTTAAGGGCAACTGTGTCTGGTACATGAGATTAGAGCTAATATGTTCCATCTCCACCCTTCGTTTATACTTATCTGTTAGCTCTGCAAGGATATTAAAGAAAAAATATGACAGTCCAAGTGATAGTAGGTAATACCCAATGCCTACTTGCTATTTCTCAGGGACTCTACTAGTATTGATCGGTTTTTTCCTACTTGAAGTTTATAAGTTCATTAAAATCTCATAATAGTCCTGTGGGATAGGTGGGATCATCATCCTCATTACAGAGGGAAAAGCTAGGCACAGAGAGGTTGAGTAATTTGCCAAAGAACCCACAGCTAGAAAGCCAAGTTCTGAACCTCACGATCTTGCATCAGGCCTGTGTTCCTGTTCGTCACAGCTCCCCTAAGTCCCCAATATCTTCCTTTAAGCAGTACCCATCTTCAATGACCACTAAAAAGTTAGTGCCCCGTATCATCCATGCTTCCCCACATTTAAAAATAACAACAGGGCCAGGGATTATAGCGCAGTGGCGCAAGCACCTGCCTGGCAAGTGTGAGGTTGTGAGTTCGATTCCCAGTACCAAAACAAAACAAAACAAATAAATAAAAACAACAACAAGGGGCTGGGGATTTAGCTCAGCGGCAAAAGCGCCTGCCTGGCAAGCGCAAGATCGTGAGTTCAGTTCCCGGTACCGGAGAAAAAAAACAAACAAAAAAAAAACAACAACAACAAAACGCTTTCACTTAAACTTTACTAAGTAACTGCTGAGGACCACAAATGAACTCTCAAGACACCTGCATGTGGCCGGTAAACCACAGATATTCTTTGCAGGAACTGTTCTAGCTTTAGGTGCTTGAGGAGGAAAGGAGACAAAAATATATCTATTTTAAAATGATGCCCGAGTGTTCATCTGTAACTCCAATTTTAAAACACTCGGAACCAGCCTGTTAGAGCTTCTATTTATATATTCCCGCTTCCACGGAGGAGGACCAAAGAAACCAGGACACTCAGCAGACCACCCGCAGACCTCTGAACTTGAAAACAGCAGCAGGCTCCTTCCTTGAGCTTTGATCTCTGTGCTCTACCAACTTTGTCTCCAAAATGACCCAAAGATTAGCAACATGGCAATTTACTTCTTTTCCAGATCATCCAGTAACTCGGGCACATCTCTGCTCACCAGTGGGGAATGGTACATATTTTTTAAAATAAGGCAGCAGAAACTAATGCTGCTAAGCCCAAAGCAATCTGCCCACTGAACTTCCTGTGAGACGTTTTTAAAGTTTCCTCCAGATCTGAGGATTTCTTTTGCTTTTCAACCGGGTGTGGTGTGTGCAGAAGAGCCAGTTCCAGATGAGATGCTCCACACAGCTGTCCTGGTATTTTTGGGCTTTGTTTTTCAGCTTAACCTTTTTTATCTTTTCTGTGCTGGGGATGGAACCCAAGGCTTCAAACACCATTAAACACGGGGGCTAGCTGCCTGGCCCAGGGCTTAACTTTTTACCATGGGCATTTACAAACACACAATTAGAGAGGATATCTAAGCGAACTGGTATCCACCACTCAGCTTTGACACTGATCTCCCTCATATTTATTTTGAAGGCTGGGGACTTTACCAACCCCTTCAGCTCGTAAGAGGCTTGTAGATTTTGTTATTAGTAGGAGAATAGCTGGAGGTCTTCCGGAAGACGGCTTACTTGTAGGAAGTGTCTGAACTCAGTGGCTCTCCGTGTGGGTGATTCTGCCCCCAAAGGACCTTACTGTCAGGAGATATTTTGGTCGTCACAGATCGAGGGTGACTGCTAGTGAGCAGAGACCGGGAAAAGCACCCTACAATACACAGGTGAGACCCAAGCACCCACCACAAGTGACGTGGCTCGAAAAGCCAACAGTACTGCTGTTGACGAATCCTATCTTAGTTACAATCTCCACCTTCCCGAGGAGGAAACTGAGGTTTACAGCGGTTAAACTGCCCCTTATAAGTAAACAGCAAGGAGGTGCTACAGAGCCCAGGCTTCAACCCAGGCAGGCGGAATTCACGGACCCTCCCTGGTCGACCATTACCCTGTACCTCCTCCCTGAACCAGTTCTCCAATCTCAATCCAAATCCATCATTTTACAGAAAGCAAAATGTGGCCCAGAGAGGGGAAGGGACTTGCCCAAGGTCGCACAGTGCAGGCTCAGAGCTCGAACTCTGGGACTCGTGAGGGCTCGCCCTGTGCGCCTCTGCGGGCTGACGTCTTATCTCCCTCTGGAGGCCCCGGAAGGTCACCCCGGGAGAAAGGTCCCGGGGAACAGAGCACCGGCTGCCACCTCGCCGCCCGCTGGGACAGCCTGACCCGGCCAGAGTCTCCTGCAGGGTCAGCTGAGGACACTGACGAGGGGACAGGGCAAGAGCGGGAGGCTGAGGCAGGAGTGCCACCCCCGCTGCACGCGCTGCGCGTCCTCCGCGGGGCCCCACGTGGGGGTCGCCCAAGAAGCCAGGGGCGGGAAAAGCCGTGCACACCCCCGGCGCGTTCTGGAGGGAGAAAAGGGGAGCAGGGACTTTCTCGATAGCCCTATGGGTCCACCCGGCCCGCCTCCCACACCCGGGCGCCCAGCCGCAGCCTCTCTCCGCGCGCTCTAACCCCTGACCCCTGCCCTCTCCCTCGGACCAAGCCCTCGCACCCTTCGGATTCTTACACGCGCCGCCCCCGGAACCCGGACAGCGCACAGGGGTCCGCACACCAAGCACAGCCCGCTGGCGCCGCTGCCAAAGCCCCGAGCCCGGAGCTGTTGCAGCCACTACAGTCGCCGACACTTCAGTCGCTGCCACCACGGCAGCTGCGCCAGCTCTCGCTTCCACCGCCTCCCGTCCCCTCCACCCTGCCGGCCCCGCCCCACTTCCTCTCCGCCGCGGTCCATTGGACGACTGGGCTGCTATACTGAGGTCTGATTGGTTAATCTTTACGTCCTTCCTCAGTTCTCATCCATTGCTGATTGCAGGACTCATTGCCCGCCTCCTCAAAAGGGGGCGGGACGAAGAAGCTCCACCTCTTCCCTCCCTCCCATCCCCCCGCTTCACTCGTTCTGCCCAACCTAGACAGTCTCGGGTCTTTCAATTAGAAGAACGCCAGAGGGGCCGTGCTTCTGATTGGTCAGAATTCAGGAGGTGGATTTAACAGAGCGAAATAAGGCATTAAATGGTGAAAAAGGAAGTCAGTCAGACGCCGAGTCCCGCCCTCGGAGATTGGCGGGTAACCTAGCAACGCGAGGACAGAGAAACCACTGTGGGGGAGAGATACTGGATCCTTCAGAGCAGGTGAGTAACAGGTGGGAAAGAGTTGGAGGTGAGGGAAATGTGAATCGAGGTGTAGCCCACTCTTCCCTGGCTCCGCAAAAATCGGTGCCCTCCACCCTGATCCCATCCTAGCTTAGGATCTTGCTCCCAAGCCACTGCCTCAGTCTGCACCTCCCACTCCACAAGACATCCACTTTAGCGTCCCTAACCCTATTCCGCCTCCTCCGCTTGTCCATTGCATGGCCCCCCTGTCGCTTCTCTGAAACAGGGATGAGCCTGGTGCCATGGCACACCCCTAGAATCCCAGCACTCTAGGAGGCTGAGGCAGGAGGATCATTGCGAGTTCAAGGCCAGCCTGGGCTACAAAGTGAGTTGAAGGCCAGCCTGAAGTGCATAGCTAGACCCTGTCTCAAAAAGACAAAAAAAAAAAAAAAAAATTTTGAGCCCAGCCAGTGCGACGTACTGAGATCCTGTGGGAAAAATAAAAAAAGATGTAACTCAATGCAAAAGGCCCTGGATTCAATTGCCAGTACCGCTGGGATATCAGTCAAATAGAGGCACCGTTAATTTATTTGAAGTCAAACATAGATCCTGAAGGCAGAAAGCACATTTCTAAGTAGCCCACCCTCCTGCGGAAGGTGAGCATGCAACAGAAAGCATCTCACTTGAGTGGGTGCTTCAATTATTTTGATTATACAATTTTGTCTTTTGTATTAACTTTAGACTTTAGCCAGGTGTGGTGGTGCTCACCTGTAATCTTAGCACTCGGGAGGGTGAGGCAGGAGGATTGCCCATGAATTCTAGGCCAGCCAGGACTACACAGTGAGTTCAAGGCCAAACCCAGGCGTGGTGACACATGCTTGTAATCTCAGCACTCAGGAGGTTGAGGCAGGAGGATCGTTGAGAGTTCGAGACCAAGCTGGGCTACCAAGTGAGCTCAAGGCCAGCCTGAACTGCATAGCAAAACCGTCTGAAAAAGACCAAAAACAAAAAAACAAGGCCAGCCTGAGCTATGTAGCAAGACACTGTCCCCCTCCTCCCAAAAAAAGAAAGAAAGAATTTAACTCCCATTTCTGTCCTTAAAATGTGATCTCAGGGCTGGGGATTTAGCTCAGTGGTACAGCGCCTGCCTGGCAAGCACAAGGTCATGAGTTTGATTCCCGGTACTGGAAAAACTAAAAAAAACAAAAATGTGATCTCATTGTCTATTAAACAAAGAGTTTCTTGTGGGGATTACAGGCAGCAAGGCAGTGAAGGGGCTGGCACAGAGCAATGCAGCACAAACAGTGCTCAGAAAATAGTGGTGACTTCTTCCCCCTAAAACACATCCAGCCTTGACTCTTTGTGCTTAAAACAGCTCCAAAGGAAGAGTCCTTGGTCCACATGTTAAATATTCATACCTTCAACGGTATTTATTGAGTGCCTATTATGGATGGTTGCAGGGAGCAATCAATAAAGGAAACCTCATTGCTCCCGTCATGGAGCCTGTAATCTGAGAGAGAAGCCATTAATGAAGTAGTGCAGTACAGATGGATGTAAGACCACGCTGTGGAGACTGACTTCCACAGTGATGCCGTGAGGGACTGAACAAACCCTGTTCTGGTTTAGACCTCACGTGGCCCCCAAAGCTCGTGTGTTTGGAAGGTGAATGGGCATGGAGGCTCTAACTTTTTTTTTCTTTTTTGGCATTTTGAGACAGAGTCTCGCTATGCAGTTCAGGCTGGCCCTGAACTCACTTTATAGCCCAGACTGGTCTGGAACTCGAAAAGATCCTCCTGCCTCAGCCTCCCGAGTGCTGGGATTACAGGTGTGTAGCACCACACCCGGCTAAGGGCTCTAACTTCAACTGTGATGGAATCACAATTTGATGGCCGTACTGGGGGGATGGCCAAGTGGAAGGGAGTGGGTCATGGGAGTGTGACCTTGGGGACTGTATCTTACTCCTAGCCCCTTCATCTCTGGTTCCTTCCCTTTCTTTCTACTTCCTGGCTGCCATGAGGTGAGCAGCTGTGCTCCACATCTGTCCACCACGATGTCCTGCCTCACTTCGGGTAATGGAACCAGACGATCATGGACTAAAATCTCTGAAACTGTGAGCCAAAATAAAGCTTTCCTTCAAGTTGTTTTTCTCAGGTATTTGCTCATAGCAACAAAAAGCTGACTAACTAATCTCTTCCTCAAAATGCAACTACTGTCCATTGATGGATGTGTGGATAAGCAAAATGTAGTGTATCCATATAGTGGAATATTATTCATCCATAAAAAAGGACTAAAATTCTAGCCAGGCATAGTAATTCATGCCTATAATCCCAGCCCTGAGGAAGCTGAGACAGGAGGATCACTGTGAGCTTGAGACCAGCCTGGGCTATGTGGTGAGTTCAAGGCAAGCTGAAACTATGTAGCAAGACCCTGTCTCAAAAAACAGAAAGAGAGAAAGAAATTAATTTTGACATCTGCTACAATATGAATGATCCTTGAAGGAATTATGAAAAAATCAGACACAAAATGACGAATTGTCTGATATGAAATATTTGTAGTATTCCACTTCAGAGAGAAACTAGAATGGTGGCTACTGGTGCTATGGGAGGGGGAAAAAAGGAGGAATGTTTGCTTTAGTGGGTACAAAGTTTCATTTTGGGGTGATGAAACATTCTGGGTGTGGACAGTAGTGATAGTTGCACATAAATGTAATATTCTTAGTGCTACTGAACTGTATTCCTTAAAATAGTTAAAATAGTGCCTTAATTACTTTTTCATTTCTGAGACAAAATACCTGACACCCAGAAGTTGAAGAAGGAAAGGCTTATATTATCTCACAGTTTGTGGAGGTTTCAGCCCATAGTTGGCGGGCTTCAAGGCAGTGCGCGCGGCATGGCAGAGGGCATCACAGAGGAAAAGCAGCTCATGGCATGGCGTACAGAAGGCAGCAAAGGAAAGCAGTAGCAGCTAGCCTCCCTTTCCCTTTTATCCTTTTTTTTTTTTTTTCTTTTTGTCTTTTTGAGACAGGGTCTTGCTATGCAGTTCAGGCTGGCTTGAGCTCACTGTATAGCCCAGGCTGGTCTCAAACTTGCAGCCATCCTCCTGCTTCAGCCTCCCCAGTGCTGGGATTACAGGAGTGCGCCACCATGCCTAGCTTTCCCTTTTATCCTTTCCAGGCTACAGGCCTATTGGTTGGTGCCACCCACACTGGGATGGGCCTTCCCATTGTCCACAGCTAGAACCATGCCAAACCAATCAGTGACTAATTTGGTACTACACACCCTTAATCCCAGTACCACACACCCTATATTTAAACCAGCTCTGAGAAGCTGCACTTGTGAGTGCATGAGGGGGGGCATTTAGATAAAAGCCATAACAAATGGTAAACTTTGTGTTATGTTTACCACCATTAAAACGCGACTAGAAAACTGAATGAAACTGTCCAGGCTAGTTCAGCATTTTGAAAATCTACCAAGGCATACAACCAGCGGAGAGCATTGATTCCTGGCAACTCCTGGAGCTGGCGTCTGTGGTGTGTTCCCCTGGGGCTTCTCTCGGTGGCCATCCTGTTCTGCAGCTCCGTAGCTCAGCCAGGTGTGCGGCCCATGACAACCAGTGGCCTCGCTGCCACTGCCTGGCGGGGGCCTCCCTGGATTCGGAGCATTGGCTCAAAAGAAGAAGAGGAGGAGGGGCTGGGGATTTAGCTCAGTGGCAAAGCGCCTGCCTGGCAAGCGCAAGGTCGTGAGTTCGGTTCCAGGTACCGGACAAAAACCAAAAAAAAAAAGAAGGAGAGGAAGAAGGAAAAGAAGAAGAAAAAAAAAAAAAAAAAAAAAAAAGACCTGACCATTGACTACCTTTCCCGGCAGAAAATGGAAGCCTTACAGAGTCAAAGTGTTTAAGCACAACTTCAGATCGATTTCTGGTGGAACCTGATGCTGTGAGATGCAGCAATGACCCCTAAGAAGTCAGGTTTAAAAATATAAAGAAGAAAAATTAAGTAGAGTCGCACATCGTACAGGAGACTGACTTAACAGATTTAGTCCAGGAAGTAAGTTACCAGACACACAGGCAAAGCAAGGACAACTCTCATTAGGAAGAAAAGTTCAGCATGCAGCGCTGCTACAATTTTTTATCTAAAATTTCCAGCATGCAACAAAAGAATTGTGAGAGGTACAAAGAAACAAGAAAGTGTGAATATACACAGGAAAATAAAAAGCAGTGCAGAAGAACTGCCTATATTTTCCCCAGATTTAGCACACAAAGACTTCAAAGCAGCTAAAGCAGGTCTGAAGAATTAGAAGGTACGATAGCAATGACTCATCCTACAGAAAATAACAGTTTTCTCATTTTGTCTCTTCAAAAAAAAAAACAAAAAAAAAACATAAGGGAGTCAGGGATATAGCTCAGCTGTGCAGTGCCTGCCTGGCAGGTACAAGGTCCAAAAATAATAATACGGTTGGGGTTGGGATGTAGCTTAGTGACTAGACCACTTGCCTGGCATGCCTAAGACCCTTGGTCCATCCCCAGCACTGAAAAAAGAAAAGATTATATAAGGCAATATTTATAACACTGTATTGTTTGGCTTGTAAAATGTCTATGTTAGCCAGGCGTGGTGGCACATGCCTGTAATCCCAGCACTTGAGAGGCTGAGGCAGGAGGATCGCCCATGAGTTCAAGGCCAGCTTGGACTACATAGAGAGTTCAGGGCCAGCCTGAACTACAAAGCAGGACCCTGTCTCAAAAAACAAAACCAGGGCCGGGGGTATAGCTCAGTGGCATAAGCGCCTGCCTGGGAAGCACAAGGTCCTGAGTTCAACTCCCGGTACCAAAAAGAAAAAAAAGTATCAATATAGCTGGGTGATGGTGAGACACACCTGTAATCCCAGCACTTGGGAGGCAGATCCAGGAGGGTTACCCTGCCTTCAAAGCAAAAGTAGATGACATAGTGAGACCGTAGCTTAGAAAAAAAAAAAAAAAAAAAAAAAAAGAAAGGGATCAGCAGACTACAATTCAAAGGGCATATCTGGCTTGTCACCTGTTTT